TACAAAAATAACAAGAACGCACGCGACCACATAATAAATTACTAAACAAACGTACGCAACATTCAAACAACACAGGAAATAATCTGGAGTGTTCCGCGAGTATGCAGTCGAGTCAATTGACATGAACCCATATATGTCACGAGAAGCATACATGGAATTCTCAGAAGCTACAATGGAAATAACCAGAAGTGGTTATCAGTCAATCGCTCAAATAACCACAGGTCGCTATCAAGCAGTCGTATCCATTTCAAAGCACATCAGTAACAGGAAAGATAGGATACTACGCAAGAGTCTGCTACACTTATCTTAGACTTTTACGTTTCAAAAAATATTTTTGTCGCAATTATGAATGAACAATGTAAAAACTAGTGGTGCTACACAATGGCAAGCTTTTTCGACTTGCAACGCCACCTAGGGTACCCCAGATGGCCCGGATGGTACTAGTTAGTTGACCCGGATGGTACTATTTAGTTTTCTATTCTTTTGAAACAGGGCTAGACTTTTCGCTTCGCCCCCCCCCCCCTTTCTAGGTGCTATCTACTGACGCCTCCTGGCCTAAGGGCCCTTCCCTCGGGACCAACCGCTCTTTTACCGACAATTCTCAGTGACGATGTCCCTCACACTCCGCAAACATTACTCCGAGATGGACCGTAGGCCCATCGTGCTCCTAAACCATTACATACTATAAGCCAATGGTAGGCGGCGGTCTTCGTGCTTGTTTCATCATTCTAGATGTAGGAATTCAGATCCGCATTTACAAACAGACGGATTACGCGCACATCTCACACACAGTTATCAGGCAGACCAAGAGATTATGGAACGATTAGGGCATCGGTGTGATACTCGAGGGACTGGGAATACCGCCAACACCCGAACACAACTGAAATGTATCCCTTAGGCGGATTTCGAACCATCGGCCATCGGTCCACGAACACTGCCGCTCATCTGCCACACTCCGCTGCCGCGTGAGGCCAACTCACTCGACCGTATTACGAGTATTTTTCATCATGTTTCGATTATGCAGAATCATAGTAAGATTAATAAAATATACAATTGTCACCATCCCGTCATCCCGTCCCGTCCCGACGCAAGGTTGTTGGCCCGAGATCGAGTCCCGGTCGGGGCAACCAATTCTTTCAACAAATTTAGTTATAAATAAAATAATATGACATAAAATAATATGAGAATATTTGATCGATTCTGAAAATGCATAATTTTGAGCTCATTTACTCACAGAAACGTTTGAGATTTGGAGAAATTTCATTAAAGTTCATTTGAAGTATTCGTGTTCGGAATTGCATTAAATTATTTAGGCTAAAAATTTTGGTCTCATGTCGAGCCGGATCGAGCGAGAAACATTCGTTTTAGAGAATATTATTGTAAGGAATGATTTGAGCTAGAAATTCCCAATGAGGCTAATATCGACCCATTGGTCGATGAAATTTTAAAGAGGGTCAATGTTAAGGGGTTGACATAGGGTGAATGACCGAATATGGGCCGGCGGCTGATCAGAGTAATGAAGATCTATATCCTGTTGATTACAAAAAATATTAATGTACTAGATAATTTTTGTTTTCTGACATAAATCTACAAATCATCTAAAAATAAATTACTGTCGCTCGCACCTCTTCTTTCGTGTCCATTGTTCATCATGTTCACAAAACTCAAAATATTATGCTATCGCGTAAGAAAATATTCTCCAAAATACTGACTGCCGAAATGCCATGGCCAATATTGTTAAAAACACTGAACTTTTGTAACCATTGTGTAACGATGGATGTTAGTAACTTAGGTACTCAGAAAAGGAAGCGAAAACGCTTATTGGAAATGAGGTACCGTATCTACGAAAATATTTGTGTTCGGATTGTTATCTTTAAGGAATTTACGTGCAACTTCTTGCTTGTAACACGTATACATAATGCATCCATTATGTATACGTATTACAGTGACAAATGTAAGGGGCTCGATAAGGTAAAACATTCTCTAAACCGAGGTCGATGCAGGACAAAGGTTGGGTATCCCTGGTTTAGGCTCTAGTGCTGTTCGCGGGCGGGCGCACGAAGAAACAGACGCGTCGAAGGCAGGAGAAAACCCCGTTTTCGTTTCCACCGACATCAAAACGCATATTTCCATTAAATCTTGACATCGATTTTCCACAGCATTACCTCTCTTTCTCTGTACTACGTGCTAAAAGTATATTACACCGTAAACCGGGTATCCCACAACTATGGGCCACTACCGTAACTTCTAAACGGTTCACGATATCGAAAAGCAGTTTTCGGTCAACAATGCAGAATTATGGGGCAAGCACTATGCCCCAAGTACTATGAGGTAGTGTTTGTAATATTTTTAGTTTGCAAGAAATTTAATCATGTTTGATTTTTTAAAATAAAACTATATATTTTTTTACTATACTTCCCAAGAAGAGAAAGTATTGTAATCGTGCACCAGAACGTGGTGACTGAAAAATCTCTTATCGCGGGGTCCTGGTAACGAAGAAGTGGATAAATCATGTCCAGATATATAGTAAATTACTTCCCGTAACGTGTAGTCAGAATCCTTGTACAGTGGGTCCTTGATACCGAAAAATCGATTGACGGCGAAATGTCTGTCTGTCCGTCTGTCTGTTCGTCTTTATATTTATCTCTCTGTGATAAATATCAGCACCAAAACTGTTCAACCGCTTTTCTCCAAATTGATATTCCACGATCGATTTAAAGGAACTCGAGGTGCCCGAAGTTTCAAACTCAATTTTTATTTTTAGGTATAATTCACAAGAACCCTCAAAAACACTTTCAAAATTTTCTCAAAAATGGCTCCAGATTTTTCGATTAAACTTTAAACTCGGAGAGGGTAAAGGCAGCTTAAAAGAACAGTACAGGTCTCATTTTCGTTTTCATTCTGATTTTTTTTATTGCAATAGTTCACATATTTTTCGGTGTTTTTCGACAAGCGAAGGCCACCTTCCTCAAAAGCGACAGTTGCAAGGACCACTACATCTGTTTAATTTAAAATCGCATGTCAATACGTATAATTTTGTATTCAGATTACTACAAAAACATTAACAAGTGATACATCGTTGTATTCCCCATTTTTTAACTATCCATTGCTAGCAAGAAAATATATAGCTAGTTCTATTTAAAAAATCAAAGATGATTACATGTCTTGAAAATTAAAAATATTATAACAAACATCTCTACGACATATTACTTGCCCATAATGCCGCATTGTTTAGTGAAAACTGCACCTCGATATCGTAAATCATTAAAAAGTTATAGGGGTGGCCCATAATTGGTTTGTCATCCGTATACGTGTATATACAAGAAAGTAGAAAGTGAGAGAGATTTTGTACATTTGCTTACCTTACATCCTAGATATTAATCACTGATTGAACCATGAGTTTACATGAAAGGTTGCACGAAATATAGTCCCGACACTAATTGTCACTGCAGTTGACTAAATCTCCATCGCCGCATTACTAAAGAATGAACATGTGTGCACGATAGAAGTTCTGTGATATGCATTACCATTGTTATTGTAGCGGTCTTTTCAAAGACAAAATTATACTTAATAATTACAATAATAAACATACAGGGAAGCGGCTCTCATACATATCCATTTTTGAATACACGAAAGTTTGAACTGATTATCTCTTTTTACAACTTGGTCATATAGCGACCCCTGTGATTGTTTGAACTGTTGGAAAAACACGAAAGGACAACATACGAACATCCATGCCCGAGGCAGGATTGGAACCCCCGGCTATATAGGCCGGCGAACGGATTGTTTTGTGAAGTCAATAACTTTTTTCCTGAAAGCTTTTTTAGGCTGTGTAGAGGTCCCCCAATTGATGCATTATCATTGAAGCCGCATTTAAGCCGCACTAAAGCGTTTAATTGAAGAATTTAGGGTAGTGGCGACTCACCCCGCGTAGGGGGTAAAGAACCACTTAGGGAATAAATTACCTTATAAGTGAGTCAAGTTACAATTGTAATGTGTTGCAAAATGAACCTCGTTGTCAGGAAGTCTGGCGCCGTGGTGGCGTGCAGGCAGTATTAGACAGGTTCAGACGCCAGGGGGGCGAGTAGGGTGTTAGGATAGAAAGGGAGCAGAGGCGGAGGCGCCCCGAGGAAACTAAGGGCCTGTTTCACCGGTGCCAGATAAAGTGCCTTATAGCCTATCCAGAAATTATCTTACAGATATGTTGATAATGTGTTTTACGAGTGCCAGATAAATATATCCAGTGGTTAAAGTGTCCGGTAAATTATTTGGAGGTTCGAGAGGTTGTTAAATATTTATCTGGTAGATAACTCCAATATAAATTTGCAGTGTATGGCGGTTGCGGCTCTTGTGTGTGAACTTGCAGCGTATTTAAGGAGTGTCGATGGTATTTCAGTGATGTAGTTCTTTGATCGTTTAAAGCGTCCGCGCAGACGGCGTGTAATTCGCGATCGGCCTGAGTATTTTGAAATCCTCGACGAACATGATTTCAGATCCCGTTTTAGATTAACAAAGCCTGCGGTGAGCAAAGTTCTGTCTTTGATAGAACAGAAAATTAAAACAACAACTGGTTTGTGAGTATCGAGTTATATTCTATTTCTGCACGAATTGGTCCTGCTAAATTCATTTTATTTCAAGATAATAAAATGTATACTTTGTGATTTGTTCCATAACCCATCAACTGGTGTGGAAAACTTATACAATGAATCACACATCAGAACAAGAAATGTAGTGGAGAGGTCATATGGTGTGTGGAAAAGCAGATTTCCAGTTTTATCCAAAAAAATAACAATTCACTTGTCAAAAGTACAAGGAAATTAGTGTTGCATGTGTAGTATTACATAATATTGCCACTGACATGGGTGATGACCACTTTGAGATACAAGAAGAAGAAGATGATAATAATGATAATGATAATAATGATAATGTTACAAATAATTGTCAAAATTCAGCCTTAGAATAAGTTAATAACAGAATATTTTTCATGTTTGTAATAAAACTTATTTTTTGAAAGGCAAAAATACATTAAAACCACAATCACAAAGACTAATTTTTATTACAAGACACTTTTTTTTTTCTTGAACCTTCTGCAACTCTCTTTTCACTTGTAGAATTCTAATTGAAAGGTATTCTTTTTCTAATTCATGCATTTCCATTTTCTTTTTCTTCTCTAATTGATGCATTTCCATTTTATTCTTCTTCTCCAATTCATGCATTTCTTTTTTGTGCTGTATCTCATCTTCAGCTAGTTTCTTTTGTGTATTTGCCACTTTCCGTTTAGTTTCAGACAGCAAATGGCCTTTTTTCATTCGGTTTACCTATCAATAATAATAATTACAAAAATTACATAATTAATGTATAGTACACAATGATAAAATACGTGGTGAATTGTGGAAATAAATAAACCTGCTTTGAAATATATGAATTTTATTAGGAATGAAATGCATTGTGTTGTAGTGAATTAAAGGCTTTAAATGAACAAAAGAATAAAAATTTGGGGCATCAAGAAAATAAATAATTGTTTATGAAATAGTATTAGATAAAAACATATTGTGTACTATCATTTTACAGAAAACAATGTTATAGATGAGTCATTTCACTTCATTGATCAGTAATATTTAATGAAAATTGTGAAGTGAGAATGTAAATGTTTAAATATACTAACATAAGGATGGATGCTTCCTTTTTCTTAATGAAGCAGGATTCCACGACTTCCATTTACTTTGAGAGTCATAATTTTCTTGGAGTGTGACTTGGCTTGATGAACATGGTTGTATATCAGCTTCACCTTTAAAAAAATAATTTAATTGCAAAAGATTTTTTGTAATGTAAACATAATGATAAGTGGGAATAACAATAGAAAGTAATATACTGTGCATATTCATGTGAACACAGAGTAATGTATATAAAATATATTTATTTTCCAAATAAGAGAAAAATGAATATACATAACATTAATAGGAGGCGAATTTTAATGAACTGTCATCATCATGAGACCAAACTGAAGTTAATCTTTCCTTGTTCACATTAATACTCAGAGGGGTGTAAAGATAGATATAGTTTACTATTTATTTTATTTTGAGAGCTCTCTCCACTCATTCTCTTACTACCCATTTCATTCTGCGAAGGATTGTGCCACTCAGCAATTACATAAGATGTATCCGAAAGAAATATATTTGCATATAAAATTCACATCAAGTACAAATCATTGCTGCAATATCTAATTCATTACCAACCTTCAGGAGAAGACTCTTCATTCGGAGCACTTGCATTCTCGTTCTCATGTTCACCTTCTAGACGGAACGAAATGGACGCCTCTTCAATCAAAATAAACACTTGGAGTAATTTCTGAAAATATTTTAAGTCGTGCTTTTAAAAATACATACTACTATAATAGTATCAGATATACAAATCCGTATTAATTATTGAAACGTACCTGTAGTTCTATCATAAATGCTCTCGCCACCTTCCACAGACAATAAAATCTTTGATTTTATGTTTTCGTGTATTGGAGTTAAAGGCGGCACATTTAGTGCGCCACCGCCAGTTTTATACATTTGTTTCCGAAGAGAAGCAACTTTTTTTGCGTAAATCCCTCTTCAGGAAATCATATTTGCATTTAAGATTTTTCTCTTCGCGAAAAATACCTCCCATTGAGCTATCGAAAGCCGCAATTCAATAGCAGACCAAGCCACTTCCTTATCTTACCACGTGGTAACACCATTTATTTTGCATTCAATGATGTTTTTCCTCTCCTCAACGAGGGATACAAGTCTCTCGGTTTCTTCATGAGTAAAATTAACATCCCGTTCTCTCTTCTTTCCTTGTCCCCTTTCCATTTCGAATTACTCACAAAAATAAAGTATAGTGCAGTAAAACACACTAACACACAGTTCACGGAGGAGTATACTGTAATAACACAAAATCATAACGAAAGAAGCGAAAAACACCTCACCAGCCTCTCACACACTTGGTCACAAGTGTGTGGTCACAAGCATAAGCATTCGAATGCAGCATAACATTCGAATTCGCTCGTATTTCACGCGTTGGAGTCGAAAATGCGGTGTTGCCGCTAGTGAAATAGTTATCAGGACGATTATTTATCAGACATATCTGTCAGATAGTTTAACAGGAAAGATCTTGGTGAAACGCAAACTAAATATCAGGAACTTTTATCTGACGGATAAAATAACTGATGATTAGTATCCGGAACTTTAACAGACACCTGTGAAACAGGCCCTTAGCAACTTCCAAGAATACATGAGTAGGGGTGCTCAAAACTGCGTGGCAGAGCGGCGATCACGTGACGGGATTCGCCGCGCGAAAACATGACGTTGCATGTCACGTGGGTGGAAGGTTTATAAGCCAGCGTGCAAGACGTGGGTGTGCCAGATTCGATTCGTGATTCGGATTCAAAGACTGCTGCCTGACCACCGAGGAGGACGGACACACTAGGGAAGAGGACCGGCCACCGTGGGACAAAGTCCTTTTGAGGATTAGACCAAAGTGTGAAGCCTTGCCCTTCTAAGGCTTAAAAGAAAAAGCCCTTTTTGAGGCTAGCAATTCATTATTAGGGGAAAGCCGCAATGTCGACGCCTGCGTCGTCTCCCGCGCGGCTATTTTTCGCCCCTCACGGGGATGAGAGTGGCGAGCGCGGTAGAACCGCGGGACGAACGACGTCCAGGGGAGCCTTAAAGCGTCGCTTAGGTTCCCCATCAACTGAGCGTATTTGCTCAAAACCTTCCCCTGCTTCCAGGAGGAATAAGGGCAGCGGAGCGACGCCGGCCGACTCGCCGCCTGCCGCCGCCTGCCCATACTCGTCATCCGCCGCCGCCCACCCCCATCCTTCTCTACGGGGGGGGGGCGGACACTTTCGGGCTCCTCGAGGGCTAGAGATCAGCCTGCGGCGACGACATCACCGCGGAGGTGGCAGGCGACACTGTAAAGATCCGGTGCGAGTCCCTCGAGGAGCATCGGGATGCTCTTGTCGCCTTAGACGAGAGAGCCGTGGAGTGTCACACGTACTCCACGGGAAACACGAAAGCCCTCAGGTATGTCCTGAGAGGCATACCTTTGGAGCTTTCTCTACAGAGCCTCCACGATAACATGGCGAAGTGGTCTTCAGGTGCAGAAGCTGGGGCGCCTGATCAGCCAGCGGCCGGGGCGAAGGGGCAGAGCGCGGCCGCTGCTCACCGCGACGCTGGAGGGCTCGGAGCGTCACCGGGCGCTCCGTGAGGTAACGAGCATCGGGGGCTCCGCGTGCGCGTGCAAGTGTATCGACCACCGCGCGGGCCCACGCAGTGCCACAATTGCCTGGATTTCGGCCACGTGGCACGAAATTGCAAGCGCCGCACGCGCTGCAAACAGTGCGATGAGCTGCATGACGCCGCGCAGTGCCCGCTGGGGGAACACCCCCCAGTGGACGAGCGTAAATGCTCAAACTGCCACGGCGGGTTACAAGGGTTGCCCCGAGTATAAGCGCCGCTGTTTCAGGGGTAACCAGGCCCAGCAACAACGGCAGGAGCGACAACAGCGGGATCGCCAGCGGCGCGCCCGCATCCAAGAGAGGAGAGCGGCAGACGCGCAGTCCGCGTCGCGCTCTCCCGCGCGGGAGCGCGAACCTTCGCGCCGCCGCACCTCCACAACACCACCGCGGACTCAGCGTTCGCCCAGACGCAAACGCCGACGCGCCCAGCGGACCTACTCGGACGCCCT